CTATTACAATTTGTGGTTAGGTTAGGTTAGGTTTTGTTACATTTGCACATGCGTAGTCCGAATTTCCAGGGAAGCATAAACGAGTCCTTAAGATTAAGTTAAGACTAAGACTAAGATTAAGATTAAGACCGAAGCATAAACCAGCCATTATATTCGCTCTCTTCGTCACACATAGATTGTGTCTGACGAAGAGAGCGAATATAAGTTCGTTCTTAAGACGATCTTGAATATAAGAACGGACTATGAATACCGCCCTTAGTATTATCTGTATAGTCGATGATATTAGTGATGCGCATTGCGCAACTAGAGAGCGCCACGTAGTGAATCCTTTATCCCCTTGCGCGCGCGCGCGCGCGCGCGCGTGTGTGTGTGTGTGTGTGTGTGTGTGTGTATCCCCCTAATTATCAATAAACCTCCGATGTGATTGTGTCGCCAGCCATCACGAATCATCGTCTTTTTCGCCTACTACAAGATCATTAAAAACTGAAAACGTACCATGTCGGAACAGTAAGTGTTTTTATTTCTTGCTCCAGAGAAAAAATACAATCACTTTCGTATTTCCACTTGCATAATTTTCCATTGAGATTCCCGTAAGTAAGCGATTGCTTTAGTCACAAAATCACTTGAAGTAAACAGGTTAGAACGCTTACTACCAATGATGCAGATGTTGCGACTTGAAACGGGCATCTGGTCTACATCAACTGCTCATTCAGGTTCCTATCAATAGTTTATAAGAGTCTTTTCTCATTGATCTCTTGCAGTGACGATACCTTGCTGGACGAAGATCTTGGAGACGAGGAATATGATCTGGGTAATGATGAGGAAGAAGCTCTCCTAGCAGATGACTATGAACTAGAGAGGGTGAGCATATTGTTTGCCCATTATTTTTCAATTGGATGAAATTTTACACCTGATGCATTCAGTTATTTGAATCATGCTTTGGTATAATGATACTTTAATCTCAAAATTATTTCATTCTTAGATTTTGTCTTATGTCTATTTGACTTCTGTTGACCTAGTTTTTAATTATTTAATATTAAAGATGGTTTTTTTTTGCAATTATTTAACGTTAATTATAAGAATAGGACTATCTCAAAGTGAAGCAATTAAGTGAGTTAAAGGCAACGATAATATCATTTTACATAAATATTTTGATGTACGATAATTTTACTAGACATAAAAAAGTTGTACTTGATGTTACTTATATACTCTGAAATTTCTGGACAGCGGATTGACTATCGGATATTGATGTCTATATACATTTATTATATTACCACAAAAAATATTTTAGATGCGAATTGAAAGAATTGATATTGCAACACAAGTGCAATATTAATGAAAGTAGGAAACTTGTTGTTGGTTATACTAAGAAGAGAAATACCTAAGCTATGTATTCTTCAACTTCTTAAGCTTCAAATATATGCGTGATATAATTATTACATAGATTAAGTGCTAACAAAGATGTATTTATATAATATTTCACACGATTAGATACTTTACAATACTTTAATTATGAATAGGCATTTTGAACGTAGAAATACACATGTTTTATATAATATACATGGAGAAATATACAAAAATAATCAAACTAAAATTGTATAACGAATTATCATATACATTTTTGTTTTAATGCAAATGTTTATGAAAATTGTCATTGCAATGTGAAAAATGTGCACTTGGCATGTCATTTGTTTTAATGGACAAATATAAAATTATACAGGTTGAAAAAGTACAGGTAGCTGCTGAAAATATCAGACAAGTTAATGGAAGGAAGAAAAAGCAACAATAAAATCTAAATAAATAACGACTACTTATGTATTAAACATAAAATAATTATGAATATTAGTGAGCTTTGTTTTATTTTATGATAATAATAATAAATTTGTTTTTGATAATTTAATAATATATTTAATATGAGATATTTGTATTTGCCTTGCAATATTTTTCACAATACTTGATGATATCAATGCTATGTGTATTTTCACCCTGCTGTATAACTGCGATTGTAACTTTTGTAAATTGAGATTTCATTATTACTAAGCGATATGTCATTAATACCAATAATAAGATGGCAAATCTGCAATGTTCACAAGTTCATTCTAATGGCAATAGATTGGTGAAATTTATGTGCTCTATGTGCATAATTTAATAATCTATTAATTGTCAATGTATAAATAATTTATCATTATATTATGAAAGAACTTGATTACTTGATAATTTAATGTGTTAATAATGTAACTGTATTATTATAATATGAGAGGTTATCTATTACCAAATGTTTTTCTTATTTTTACAGTGTTAGTACTTTATGATAATAAATTATTATTATTTTCAAGTAAAAAATATACGATCAATTTTGTGGAGTGCCTTTTAAAAGTGATAAGAGAAACACATACAGATATACATATATTTGAAAAGTGTAAATGTACATATAAAGCAAATACTTTCTCATGAAGTAAGTTCTCTTATTATGCCATTTCAATGTATCTTATGGACATTGTTATCTTGATTTTCAACAATGTAATTTCAACAATGATTGTGAAAACCCCTCGCGAAATTGTACGTCGTAATTTCTAGTGTTAAGTTTTCTCAATGCATCTAACAATCAAATGTTGTAAGAAATAATTCAGTTATATTGATGCAATGAGATATATTCTCACTGATCTTACAATAACTTGAATTTTTCCACTTAATGATCAAAATTGCATATTAATTCTATAATCTATGCTTTTTTAAATTACTACAATAATAGAAATTAATTTTTACTACAATTTGTATTATATTTCAAAGTGTTTAATTTAAATATATATTACAAATTTTGTATGCGTTCAGATACTAATTTTAACTAATTTTATCAAATTGTACTTGTAAATTCGATTGTAATTGTATATGCGTATACTGACTTGGACTGAATTATATCTTGTATCACTATACTGAAAGTTTGAAAATGTACAAGTTTTCAATTACGAAGAAGAACAAAATTTTATTATATATACAAATAATGTTACGTATAAATCATATACCGAATATTGTAGTATTATAGTATTATTTATTACACATTACGGCATTTTCCTGCGACAATGTACTCTGATTTGTCGCAATCAATCACATCTACTTGTAAGATTATGTTACATTATTATTAGATTGTTGGACATAGGAGCATGTTTTTTCAATACGTTAATAATTGATAGCAGGTGCAGAAGAAATGTTTAAAAAGACAAATCTCTTTAAAAGCTACATTTCTCGTGTGCTGAAAGGATCATATACATACTACGGAATATGGACTCGATACTGTGCAAATATATATATTGATAAGCATTTAGTCTTAACACTTGAAGTGGAGAATATTCTATTCACAAACGGGTACAGAGAGAGAGAGAGAGAGAGAGAGAGAGAGAGAGAGAGAGGAGGG